CTAACACTATCTCTTAGCACGTTGATTGACATTTCCAGGGAACTGCTGTAAATATTTTAATTACCTCCCTACTATTGACTTCTGCAATTACCAAATTATATAGTTGTCCGTTAGGATCTTTCGGAGAAGAAAAAAGATGCTCAGGAAAAATTCTTCTATAATGATCGTAAAAAATCTATCACGACTATTTAAATTTTTTTCAATAAAATGTCTTCATTTAAAATAAATAAAACGTCTGAGAAATGTTGTTAAGAATTTTAATTCCAGGGTTTACCATCCTAATTTATTAATAAAAGTTATAGATTTGGTATTTATTTTTCCTGATTCTGATTTTTTATTTTCCTCAAAAGATGGGGCTACGAGTATATTTTATTTAGCCAGCAATCCAACGCTCGTGTCTCGAAATTTTGCTTTCAGAGAAGGAAGATAATGCCTTTCAAAAGCCTTCATTCTCATTATTTGAAATAGATGCCAACCGAAGATCAATTAATAAAACACATTTGTTTTGATTTTTAATATCGCGTTTTGACATTTAACATAATATTTTGACAATTATTAAAAATATTTATTTTTTAACATCGCAATTTTCTTTTGCACAATTCTCGATTTATCCTGCTTATTAAATATATAATACCTAAATTTAAATAGGTATGTTTTATTTTTATATTTAACTCTAAAAACTAGACGAAGCATTAAAATAGGAAATTAAGTATAAATTTTATCACTCCAATTCAATTGAAGAAGAAAATGTTATAATTTATTAAATCATTTATACTTCTATTTACTTACATATTACTTTAATATATACACTATTGACTTATCATCTTCTTAATACTCCTCCCAAGGCCCTTCGTAAATGCAAAATTTTATTTCTTAATATACGGACGCTAAAAGTTTCTTTGAAAATTTCATACTCAAAATTTAAAGGGCAATGCAAGCTTCAATTAAAATGATTTAACTTAGGCAATGCCTTTTTATTTTTTCCCTCCTATCGCGGCAGTGCGTAAAAATACACACTGATTACTCCCTAATTTCGCTTTTAGTCGACAGTATTAGCTCAGCCCGTTGCATCTTTAATGCAATCCTTTTGAGTAAGAAAACACTCGTTAGCGTTGCTTTCTGCACAAAGACCAACGTTGCTATTCGTAATTACCAAAGCAGTAGGGAAAGGGGAGTGGCGAGGAGTGCAGAAACTCAATTTGTAGGGTGTTTCGTTCTTCTATAACAATCGAAAAACGGCGTATCATGGCTGTTTAAATTCTCTCAAATTACACTTTTCGATTCACGTATTCTGTCTTTATTCTAAAGGGATGGGATGCGTGGGGAGTTGATTTCCTTACCTCCCTCCGCCGATGCCGACTCTTTCTTGAAACTGAGTTGGAGAGTAACTGAAATGAGTCATGCATTCATGTATGTTTCTGTTCGCAAGTTCTTAATAAACTATTGAAAATCCTAAGTTCGTTAAACTGCTATAAATTCGTTTATTTATTTCACTACAGCAGTTGCGCATAGTACTGTTATTAATTAATTAGTCAGCCATTTATTAGCTAAACATCTTGTTTCATTTAATTTCATCGTCCTTGATGAAAATCTTAAATTTAGTTAGCCGTTTCTTTAATGGGAGTTACAAAAGCTCTGGAGTTGAAGACTACAATTAAAGCCCCTGATCAATATATCTCCGTAAATGTAAAATCCATTTGTTTTTAAATTTAAATATTTTGATATATTTAAATAATTTTGGCTTATAATTTTGGCATTTCTTGAATTTTCGAAGCGATTATTTATTAGAGCTTCCCTTTTCTCAGCTTATTTTAGCTTTATTTATTTTATTATTACGACTTTTTTAAAGCTTTGCAGCTTGGTTTGGTGTTTTCTGAAATTGTTCTAGTTTTGATTTATTTTCAATTTTTAATTTACAATAGGATTATTTAATTTTTGAGGTTTTTCTACTCATATGTGTTTTGTACAGAAATCGTTTGCAGTCTTTTGAATTTTTTACAAATTCCATTTAATATTCTTTTCCATAAATTAATACGATATTCGCATTTTCTATTAATTTAAATTTAGTTATATATTAAATTCCGGCGATTTTTATGCATATCATGCTTACCGCTTTCCCTACTAAGCTATAGCGGTAAGCATGATATGTATCAAAATGTATATGAGTTACATTACATATTTAGTTTACTATTCTTATCGTTGTGCCCATTTTACAAGTCCATAGGTAAAAAACCATGTAAATGATTCTAATGCCCACTATCTGCCATGGCCTGGTAATAGTTCGGACTTAAATCCGATTGAAAACCTATTCAACTAAATGAGTAGGGAAATTCTGAACAAGAAACCTGGGTCACCGAGGTAGCTAAGGGAAGTGCATATCAGTTCATAAAATATCCCCTGAATATATGTTTTTAGGCTAATTATATGAAACAGATTGCTAAAGATGTAGGCATTCAAATAATGCAATAAAGGCGTTAACATCATTCATGTTTCGTTGTCAGGGTTAGATCATCGAATCCAAAACTAATGGAATCAGAACAGCCTGGTCGCTCGAAGCAATGGTTTCAAATTTCGGCTCGAAACTAAGAAAATTTCTTTGTCTTATCACAGAATCCCATGAAAGGTCATAGGTGAAAAGATCGGGCGATCCGTCATTGATCATGGATCTTAATCGTCATATGATAATATGGCGATGATATAACTTCTTTTCCCAACGCTAATCCAATTTCGATCAATAGATCATTTTGGAAAGGAATGTTTACTGGAAACTTCATAGTGCTGTCGTCCTTCCGTCAGTCCCTCTAGACAGTCTTCCAACAAGCAGATCCTCAATTGTCAGTCATGAAACGTCTAAAAGAATATTTAACAGAATGTTTTTCCTCAACCAAAGAATCGAATGAAAAAAACCGTATAAACTTATATGATAATGTGCAACTGCTTAATACAAATGTAGTTTTAATTTCTTTGTGCTCGCTACTCCATCAATAACAGTTGTTGCTTGGATTCCCTAGTGATAAATTATTTCAAACACCACGAAATATGTTCACGGAGAAAATAACCACTCACTTCCTTCATATTCAATCAAGCGGATGCACTTTTAGATTCTGTGTAAGTATATCAATCCACATCTACAACAGAATGAACTTGCAAGAGGACTACTGAGATGGCGGTGATTAACATGTTTGCATACTAAGCTATATTAGTTGTGAAGAAAGCTGAATATTCATTCTCATGCTCTGAATAGATAAGGTGCGATATAGTGAAATCCCACAATCCTCTTCAAGTAGCAACCGGCGATTAAGTTTCCTTTAAAATATCAAGGTCATGGGAGAAGGACTACGCGCGGAAGCTCTACAAATGCAAGATCTCATTAACCTAGATCTCATTAGCATGCACAGTTACTAGTCGACATTTGCATAGGAGATTATAAGCTAGCTTACTCCTGAAATGAGCTTAAATTTAAGGAATGTCTCTTTGCGTGCACGTTTTAAACACTTCGAACAAATAAAAGACATTAAAAACATCCCGCTTTCCTTTATACCGATTTTAAATAAAACAATATGAATTTGTGTGAAAAATTCACAAATTAAGAACTTTCTATCCTATTTTTAATGTAATGAATGCTTTTAGTAGCGTTACTAAAACTTTTGGAGTGCTGCATTGCGTTATGCTATCATTCCATTTATCTTTTCTGTGATACGTCAAGTATTGCTATCGCTTAAAACTCAAAGATCATTAGATTAACTTCCAATAGGCTTCTCAAATTGCCAATTCTCAGACTGCTACCACTCGGCAAAGCATAATAGCTTTACATTATTTTTCAAATTTAATCATTCGATGACAGCTTAGAAAACTATTACAAATTTTGAGCTTCATAAAGCCCTTCTTAAACATCTAAATCGTTTTTTTACCTTTCTAATAAAATTTTTAATTAATAAATTAAAAATACCTTTAGTTTTAATCCATTCCTTTCATAATTTTAATTAATAAAAGATGTTACTATCACTGCATATTACCTACCATAGTACACAAATTAAAATAATAATTCAGTCAGAAATTATCCTTGAACCCTTATGAAACATACAGAAATATGTAGCCAAAATTAATGTTATACATTTAAAGATACTAAAGTTTTATAGGCCAAAAATTAGTTTTATATAATTAGAGTTAAATAATCAATTTTGGGTGGGACGAAAGATGATTGGCAACAGATCTACAATATAGACTGAGAGTGTTTCAAGCATAATGCCAGAGCTTTTCGGTTTTCCCCATGTGTAACGTGTATACGAGCCAGTTTCCCTTAGAAAGTCCTCCATGAAGGCATCCCTCCGTTTAGGCAGATAGCCCTCGTGTGCTTTGCCATAATTAAATAATCCAATCCAATCCAAAGTCAGAGCTTTTCATACGGATTATCCACGCTTTATATTCGGAGAAGATTCTTCGGGGTAGAAAAAAATGGTCTGAGTATTTTAAGATATAAAAGCACTGATAATGAAAATAAAATCGTTATTCTGAGTTTTCAACACTTGATAAATTTGAAAAGTTCAAAAATTTCGAAAACGTAATCGGATGGCTAAAGTATTGTTTATGTGTTTATAAACGCTGTTATTAAAATGTATTAATTATTTTACATTTTGCATAAATTTCTCATGAATTATTTTATAATTTTGCTACATATTGTATGAATTTGTTATTATTTTGTACAATGCTACCTTTTATTAAATAAAAATACCATCGTCGTAATGATTTATCAATTATCTTAAAGCTTGTAGCTGATGAATTCCGAGTGAAAAATAATATATATTACATATATGAAAAAACTATAAAGAAATTTTACGTAATAAATAGTAAAGTAATCAGTAATTAATCAGTCAGCTAATAAATATTGGATACTTACACAGATATTAGTTACTGAAGTCCAATTTACTACAAAAATAATCACAATTCATTGAAAAAGTTAAAATTAAAAGGAAATACGAGCCAAATTCGTTTATTTATTTGGAATATTATACTCTTGAGCGAGACAAGTAATAATTGATGTATTGCTGATCTCATTCAACAATGTTGGTCTCATAGTTGGTATTCGTTAATGGTACTCAGATACTCGAACATAATATTTCTTTAACGGCCCCCTATAATATCTAAAAGACAAAAAAAAAAAAAAAAAAAAAATCAATCTTGGTTTAAAGAATAAATAAAATACATCATAAAAAATTTCAGATGAGGTTTCCGTTTCCTTATATATTTTGAAGAGTAAACTTTTAAGAGAGCTCGAAACATCGTTCGTAACTCATTGAAAAACTAAAATAAATCTTTTGTAACTACTTTTGTTATTAACAGAAAGTTTGCAAGAAGTAAATATTGTTCCGTTCTACAAGTTTGGAGTAATTGATTTGTAGTAATTGATGATAATACTTGATTAACAATCAAAACACAATTAATTCGCCATTAAACACTATTACACAGAATAGTTCCAAAGATATGTTTATACTCATCAAAAAACTACGAGAGACACACTGAAACAATCAGCAACACAGCCTATAACGGTGAAGACAGCTTCACGGCAAAGCAGCTCCCGAAGGAGTTACAGCTCCAGACTCGGTCGATCGCTCTCAAGCTAATCTCTGAATTGAGGACACTACTTTCTCCCCGGACAGGCAGGGTATATATAGCTTTAACCTACCTTCGAGGATATTTCCAATAAAACCTATAAAAACACGTTCTAGAATGTTCTCGCTCCGTCTATGGCATATTGCCAATTATTTCACCAAATATCGTCAATAAAAAGCACATTTTCCTACATTTGATAAATTTCTTTTGTTGCTAATCGTCCTAACTTGAACATAATCTAAATCAGGTCCACATATTTATCATGACAAAGAGAAAGAAAGCGCTATATAAGAAGCGTCAGTAGCCAAGACCTTGGGTATGTTATCAGCGACAGTTACTCAGCTTCTTTAGTATTGAATGGCGATCTGCTCAAAGAAGAATTTAAAGATCTTCTACACCATTTCCTTTACTATCATTCTCCCGATGGACTTTGGGTTTGAGGTATTAGAAATGTCCCCATGTCGCTTAGGCATTACATATTTAAAAGAAACATCCCTCTCCGGAAATCGAGCCCAGGTCCAACAATATGGTAAATTGGCACCGTTAACAAACATATCGAGGGTTTGGCTTGTTTTAGTATTTGATTATGTCAAAGCACTCGAGGGCTATCTGCCTGAATGAAGGGATGCCTTCGTGGAAGATTTTTTTAAAGGAAACCTGCTTGTATACTCCTTACACATGGGGAATACAACGAAAAGGCCCAAGCAGGCAGTTCATTCGTAGGATTCGAAACTCGGAAATACTAGTGTCTCGTGGGCTCAACATACTGATAAGGGCGGCTGATAAGTTTCTGTAAAGACGATTACATGTTTGGCTATTTCTTTGCTGTTAAGAAACTAATTGGTAAGAACACATTTAAAATGCATGAATTGTATTTTATTAGTGAAAAAAGTAATTAATTTTAAATTAAGAAATATTTATTTCTATTACAGTTAATTAATAGAGACTGTTGAAAATGTTTAAGCTTGAATAATAAATACTTTTCAAATTTCCTTTTTTGCTTCTATTTTTGCATATTTGTAAGTAAGTATTTCAATCTTTAATATCGTAACCGTAATTTCCACTGTCATTATGAAAATTTATTACCCCGTATCAGTTAGAAAAGCAAAAGTCTAATTGAGTTTATAAGCTTCAACGCTTCTCTCCTTAGATTATTAAGTTTTCCGAGGAATCAACATCATTTACTCTTTTTGAAAATTAGTGCAGTTTATTATCACATAAAACTTCTCTCCGATATCAAAATAAAGTGTGATAAACACTCTAAGCCCACTGGTAATGACACTGCAAAGATTTTCAATACGACTTTTCACACCGCAAATACGTATTCCAACTGTTTGATAACTAAGCAAGAAATAAAGTTTTAATATTCATGTTTTTTTTGTCTTTTCAAAGAAATTTAATATGGACCTATCACGTTTAAGTAAGGAAAAAGAAATAAAATATATCTTTGCTCTGGTTTTAACTTTATTAAATAATTCGTCGTATTTCCTCGTTTAGTTAGATCTCGGAATCAGTACTTAAGAGTCGTTTAGGTTTCAAGCTGATGCGTCGCTGCTTTATGGTATTTAAATTAAAATAACATGCAAACCAATCTTTCATAATTCATTGGTAATAAATCGACCGATATTATAAGATTAATATTTTCAATGAACTTCGATGTGCTTCAAATTTACAAATCGACTCTTAATGATTTTAGGATCTTTAAATTTATTTAGATTATAATCTTATGAGCTAACTAAATTATAAATGTTCTACATACAGAATTTTATGCTTAACTTAAATTTAAAATAAAAAAATTACAAGTCGTGAGATTGTAATTTTAAGGTTTTTGTACCTTTGAAATTTCTAAAGCTGAACTGCGAAATTTCTATTCGTATCAGCCATGTAATGACAAAAACGAAATGATTGTCTGATTTTTCATAGTTTTTTTATGATATCTATTTATCTATCTATATCCCTATACATCGATTGATATATATCTATATATATAATATTATATTATATTATTCTAATTTACAAATCGACTAATTCTAATTTACAAATCGTGATTTCGACGAGTGTTCGACGAGCTTAGCTTCGACGAGTGTTCAAACATAACACTTTCACTGCATGGAAAAGTGTTCTTACCAAGTGAGCCATCCATTTAGTAAAACTCGGTAATTTCCACTTATTTCTCATGAGATTCGCATTATTTAGATTTGACTAATACATTTTACCGAGTGTGCCTGTTCGAATTCTGGGCCTTCTGTTTGAAGCTAGACATGCTCTAGTCAAACGCAAAGATGAAAGGCAGTTCTATTACATTGTAAAAGTTTCATTTAAAATAAAGTGAATAAAGTGTCAAATCAAAACTTTTATCCCAGCTGCAGATTGAATCATCATCTCCTTCTCCCGGACAGGTATTCTTATTAGGCAATCCCTATTGGGAAGTGTGAACAGATATAGCTAATTTCTGCTTACTAATGAGACTTGTTTTATTTGATTTGACTAACTGATGTGATCAGGTGAGCACGTCCTATTCTCTTCATTTTACTGTCTAGAATCTCACTGTTTTGCGTGGCATCTACTATGTCAATACTCTATGTGTAGAATTAAGAGAATTATCGCTATGTCTAGATAAACAACAAAAACGTAAGAAGTGCGTAAAAGACACTTTTCTTAAGAAATAATTACCGTTGAACAGAAGTCACTTCTTGAACAACCTTCATATACTACTGCATAAATCAAAAATAATGAATTTCAAATTAAACTAAGTTAAACCCTCAATACAGCCCCAAGACTACATAGAAGTGATTAGTGCGCCAACTAGCTTAAACTTATATCAGAGTGAAAGCACTATTGGTAAGAATAAAAAGCAACGAGTAGATAGACTTCTATCGTAGAATTTCAAGTAGTAACGTATCCTTTAGCAGGCGGAATACGCTCTGACTAAAATGTCTAAAACTTCTCTTTAAATACTGTCTCTTCCTACCTTATTTAAATACTTGCGAGCTAAAATTTACCTTCTGGCAGCAAGAAGGAAAGGGAGATATGACAGTATAGATAAATGAACATAAAATGGCTGATTACATAAAATGAATAAATAGTTTACATCATTCAGCTGAATGCTTCTCTGCAAAGTGTAACGAAGGTGGACGATTTTTTTCACTATTATAAAGACCTTAGTTTTTAGAAAGATCTTTCCCCAGGAGATTTTCCTTTCCCATAAATACCTTAGTCGAGGTATGTAGAAAGTGCGCCCGTAAAGTAACCGGACAAGTTAAAAGATCACACGATAAAATAAGAAAGACGAAAGAATAAATGCATTTTTAGAAAGAGTGACATCTCAACTCTTATTAAAGACAGTTTGACCTGGTTATTTTGTCTTTCGCATATCAAAAGTCCAGAGTCTGAGGAGACACTCTGAAAAAAAATGATATGGAATAACATTATAACCTGGAACGTTAGAGATGATTCGAGCAGTTTATGCGTCGTTAGCAAGAAAGATACAATTATTTTAAGTGAGGGAGCGAAAGCACTGAAGATGAACCAACGGAACGACGGCCTTCAACTTGATAAGGAAAATGTGGAGAAAATTCGTTCTTTGATGAAATCTGATGGACGTGTAATAACTCAGCAACTTTCAGACATGCTTGGGTTAAGCAAAGAAAGCTTTAGGTTAAGTTTAATCGCAAATCTCAAAATGAGGTTGGTGTACGATATGTGCCTCGGATATAGATCGAACAGCAGAAGGAAGACAGAAAATCTTGCTATGAAGTTTTGTTAACTAGTACGAAACAGGAGAACAATTTCTTCAAGTTTATCACAACAGGATATGAGACCTGGTATCTATAACAGTACACAGGAACAAAAAGACAAAGTGCGTATTGGCGCTCTGGAAAGTACCGTCTTCTTCCATGCATACACACACACACACACACACACACAAAAAAAAAAAAAAAAAGATATCGATATCATTGATCGCATTTTTTGATTACAAAGGACTTGTTCGCCATGAATGTTTCCCTGAAAAACAAATAATTAATCAATATTTTTACACTGAGGAGTTCTTCCCGTTAAGAAGCAGGATAAGGAGAGTTAGGAAGGAGCTTTAATTATTTTGAGGAAGATAAATTTATTTGAAGGTCAGTAAATACTTTTCTTATTTACAATGAATTGTCTGGTTACTTTATGGGGGCATCTTGTAAAACACATTGGAGACCAATAGAAGAATAACGTGACGCGGTTCCGAGAGATCCCAAAAGCAGCCCAAACAGAAGGAAACAAAATAAGCATAAGCAACAAACTAGTGAAATAAAGCAACAAATGTGACAAATATTAAATTTTAAGGCTTTGATAACACACTCAAATAGGCGGGACCTTTATAATGTATTTCTTTACGTCTTAAAGATTTTCTAACCAAAATAATATAATAATTTACTGCAGAAAGAAATAATTAATAAATAGCTCTTGTTTCGTCAGTGAAACTTCCGACTGATACGTTATTAGCATTTTAATCAAATATGAATTAATGCATTAATATAATTTTTCT